CCCCAAAACCCCAAAACCCCAAAACCCCAAAACCCCAGGATAAGAATACCAATTTGATATAATTTTTAACATGGATTTAAAGTCAAATGAAAAAGATGCCCAAGAGTCTTCTGACTTATCTCCTATAGGAGAAGTAGAATATGAAAGAGAATCCCCGATTGTCTCTCATCACTCTAATACCCCTTCCATTGATATCCGAAGCGATCTTTCCTCTGAGACTAATATTTTGACTAACTTGTTTGAAACGAAATTTGACCATGAATCAGATTCAAACTCAGAGTCCCCTCAAAATCCAAAGAAGATGCTGACTCTGCCAAATATTTCCCTTAAGGAAGGTACAAAGTCTAGGTTCATGGAGACTCTCCAGCTGAAATTATTTCAGTCTGAGAACACAGTGCGTCAGCTGGTAGTATCAGAACTAAAAACATTTCTGAAAAGAGAAGAACAATATAAATTTAAATTAGATAAATTATACCAAGAGTAAGCTTCAAGATTGACATTTAGTTATCATATGTTCTTGAAGAGGTTTACAGTAAGATTTTAGGGGTTTTAATCACTAGGAAATCGAATTTGTGAATGACAAAGGCCCCCTTGCAGTTAAGATCTCACAGGTTTCAAGTAGACTAGATGACTCAGAGCTGGACAGAACGCAGAAGGAGAGTGATCTCTCTGAGAATGTCGCTAATCTTAAATAAAGGTTTTTATAAAATTTTAAGGTGTAGATATGGGTAATTGCCTAATCAATATTACCAGATTGATCGATACGACTAATGCTTATGGCAGACAATTGACAGATAAAATCAACGGTAGCTTATTGTGCTCATATTTAGATACTATTGATATAAAATCAAACTGAGAGAACAGTTATAGTGACTGATTAGTTAGAATTAATCAGATGAAGGTTGATCAGGAGAGAATGATCAAAGAAAATCAAGAGAATTGGGAAAATATGCAAAAGACTGTAAGTTTTCCTTTGGATCATTCTTCTTTCATTTATGAAGTTTTAATTTTAAATATATCTTCTTCTCAAATCAGGCTAATACCTGAATCCTATGCTGAATATAGCTAAATGAAGAGATTGAGAAAATAAGCATAATGGATGCTGATATTCAGACAGCTAAGAGCTATTATTCCAAAGGACAGGCCATCTACAAATCATTATCAGAAAGAAGTATAATTTTAAAATAAAGCCTCTAGTCAACTCTAAATGTGATGTCGAATATGTAAATCAAGAGACAAGCAAGCTCAAAGTTCTAGTAGATTCAAAAGACAGCAATGTCAATGTAATCAATAGAAAAATGAACATGATCTCCAACAAGGTCGATAAATATGACGATATTATTAAAGAGCTACAGCAAAAGATTGAAAATATCAATCTTAAGTCTAATATCTCTCAGGAGGCAAAGCCATCTCCTTCGATACCACCCCTAAGCTCTAAGATACCCGAACAGAGTAATGCCGTAGACTAATCTCTAGAAAATTTACACCGGATGGCATCAATGAACGTGCATGCGGGTAGTTTCAAGCGTCAAAGTATTGATTATCTCAACTTTATAGAGCCAAATAGGAAGGATTATAGCAATCCCTATCTCCAAAATCCCGATATTCCAGTAGTCTAATCTCTAAAATACATAGGAGGGAGAATCAGGCAGCGGTGATGAGAAAGAGGATGGATTTACAGACCAGTCAGAAGTCGGGTCTCCTTTAAAAAGAGGAGAACAACGTCAAAAATTTACTTTCAAGATTCAAAAAGCTGAAGAATCTAAAAATTCAATTGAAAGCGAAAGTTACTGCCCAGACATGTCAGATAGCGAAGAAAGGGATCTGGTAAAGAAGACCAGCCAGAACAACCTGGAGGAGATACAGGAATTGAATGAAGATAAAGGCGAAGAGAATGCAAAGGAAGAAGAAATGTCTGAAGATTTTTTTCATGAGAAAGATATAAATAATGACCAATCTGATGAGAGCTATGTTACAAGAAAAGAGGAAGAAAAGAAGGAGGCAAGGCAAAGTGAAGAGGGGAATAAGAAAGAGAAGGAAGATAAGCAGGAAGAGAAAGAGGATTTGAAAAGTAATAGGAATTTTAGAAAAGGAAATATTGGAGAGGAGAAAAATTTTTCTGAAGAGGTTGCAAAGGTTCATGAGCTTCAAGAGCTTAAGATTAAGAAGAAAGAGGACAAGCAACAGTCATTTAAGATAACACCCATTGTGATTCCTTCTCCATCAACTTCTTCCCAAAATCAGCCGACTAAAATTGAAGATTTCAGACAAAAGAACTTTTTACAAATATCAAAACCTGCCAAACCCAAAGCACCTCAAATCTCTCATCTCCAAGACCCAAAGGTGACTCCGGTGATAAAAATGTCTGAGATCCCTAACTCCAGCTCGGAGAGTCCAACCAGTAGTATAAAAATGATGAGTCCTGAGGAAAGGCTCGTACCTGAAGGAGTGCTCTTGACTCAATCCAACTCTATATTCAAGGACAAGAGCAACTCCCCTGATAACTCAGGAAGGCCAGGTCGCAAGTATAGTTATAGGTAAGTCCTACCATTGTTGGACCAGTCTAAATCTTTTTATAGAGAAGTTAAGCTAGACTTCTCCTCTTCCTCGTTAAGAGGCAGCCAGGAGAAGCCTCTGGGGTTCTTTAAGCACGAAATGGCTAGTTTCTTTGAGAAATTTGTAGCCAAAAAGTTGGATTTAAAGGTAAATTTTGAAGATTTTGAGAGAATTGAGAAGAAAGTTGAGGATTTGTGAGACAAAATGAGACAGGTTGAGGAAATAGGGATTTTTAAGTTGAGGGATGTGGTACAGAATGCTCCGGCGAATGAAAAGAGGTATAACAAGTTGGAAGGTGAGATGGATAAGATGTATGAGCTAGCGAATGTTTATGAAGCTGAGGTTAAGAGGAGTAGGAGGGATAAGAGTGATCAAATTAAGTGGAATGCAGATTCACAACAGAGATTTGAAGATTTGGATATGAGAGTTGAAATTTTGTAAGTTGTGCAAATTTATCATCTAGATCGAATACTATTAATAAAGATATTGATACAAAAATCATCAATCTTGAGTCTTTTTGTAAATTCCAGATCTGACTCAATAACTATCCGACAAATAGCACCAATAATATCTATAACTCCAGCTCAAACGTTAACATTCAAGTTCAAAAACAGCATGATCCAGTATCAAGCACAATGAAAAACTTTAACAAAATGTCTAGAATAAATCGAGGCAATAAGCTATCTGGAGGAAGGCCAAAGACGTCTAAATTAGGTGAGAGTACTGAACTAATCGTAAATGTCCCCTGAAGTTTCCAAAGTAAATACGATTTAAACTGAGTAGATCCCTCAAACATTAGTGAAGAAATTATCTCTGAAATCGATCTAAATGCTGAACAAATCGTTATGAAGTACGATAAATTCAAGTTCGACCATAAATATTTTACTAAACCAGAAATCATGCTCAAGCAAGAGAAGTGCCTCGGAGTTTTCTTGGACAAAAATGAGTTTTTAACTTCTCAGAAACGAATTAATAATGCTCATGGTAAGTAATTATACGACAAATAGATTTGAAAAATTATTTTGAAAGCCAAGAGGAAGATTCAGCTGAAGATAGAAATGATATATTTCTGGTCAAAGAGCCTTATACAAGAAATCTGAAGAATGCTCAAGATCTCACACACAGTGTGAAACCTTTCCCAGACATTTCGGTTCATAGTATGAGACAAAGGAGTGTAGAGCAAGGTATGGCTTTTCTTCTAATATTTAGTTGAAAATACAAAACATCTACTTCAAGTATTTTTCTAAAGCTATATAATTAGATTAATGGAAGGGAAGAGACCAAGGATCATCAGTTCTCCAACAACGATATTAAAATATTCACTAAGAAGTATTCTTTACTAACTTATTTTTCTAGAAAAGGCAAAAATAAGATGAACATAGCTAAAAGTACTTTTCTTCCTTTTATCTTGCTTGAATGTTTGGCATAGACAACCAGAGTGCTTTTAAGAGCAGGCTTAATAGGCTCAGGAATCAGACTAATTCAGCAGAGAGAATTACGAAGTAAGTTCTGGTAGCCCTAAGCCATAGCATAACTGCAATGACTCCATCTACAGATAATAATATGCTAAACACGAGTATGAAGAGGACAAATATGAATCTGAAGCTACAGAAATTAGTGATTAAGTAGTATCTCCAATATCTGGGGCTGAGATAGGGGTTTTGGGGTTTTGGGGTTTTGGGGTTTTGGGGTTTTGGGG